AAAGATGGCGTCACTACCGGAAATACCGAGAGCTTCCAAATAACGAAAATATCTTGGTTGGATTGTTCATGTTTCCTCCACACCGTCCCTACGAATTTTCAGAATTGTGTTACTTTCAGTTCTCCATAAGCATCGCGTTAACTCATAGAGATATATACCCTGTATAATTATGCGAAAAAATCTAGGCCTGCGCTGTTTTTTTAATTTCAATCATTGTTATATATCTATAAGTAGTATTGCTTAATATAACATGTACGTACTTAACTATTCTGAAGTGTAATTTTCAATAAAATCGAGTTGTCTTGTGAAACCTTTTGATTGATCAACTCGACAGAGATTCGAGTCCTATTAGTCCTCTCATTGAATACCTTCATCAATCTATATAGATGTGAATTCACTTGAGACATCAAAACTCAATGTGTATGTAGCATTTCTGAGACGCACAATATGATTCTTCCAGGGACGCTACAATACCAGTATAATAATCGAAAAGAACCTCACATTCAGAAATGGTCGATGGTCTTCTAAACCTCACATTCTGATTATAATGTAACCTCAATGTGAGTCTAATTTCAACGTGAAATCTGGAGTCCCATTCGGCATCTAAATGTGAAGCGAAAAATGACCGAAAGGGTCCCGAAAAGAGGATTTGGAGATGTCGACGTGATTCACAAATCGAATCGCGGGTGTGATCTCAACCTTATTATCTCAACACTGAACTATAACCCTAGTTCAGTGGATCTCAATCATGAATGTGAAGTATACTGACATCTCCGAGATCAAATTGTGTTTACTGGGTACCGACTTGTCCTCTGGTTTTTAGATTAGGTTGGGATCCAAAAATTGGGAGAATAAGAAATAGTTGATGATTTTATGGATTAAAAATGGAAAAGTGCCATTTGGGGACGACAAATTATTTTTTATTACATTTTGCGTTACCTCTTTATTGAAACCCCTAGACTCAAGTTAATAGGTAAAAAAGTTGTATGCGGAAACAACAAATACATTCAGTCTTACTAATTTTTTCTTGCTCTTTCCAAATTTGTAAATTGAATTTTGGAATATTGATATCCAGGCTGGCCGTGGAATAGGACTTGTTGTTCATTACGTCAATCGTTACGACTGTGAACAAAGATGATACAAACCGAATATCAAAAAAACATTATTGGGTGGTTCATAATTTATGATTACTTAATTGAACAAATTGGAAGAGTGAATAAATCACCCTGTATCTGGGTTATAAAGACTGATAGACACATGGAATATAGATCATTCAGCAGCACCTCGGGGTCCTCAAACTACCCATACCCAGATAGCACAGGACGTCCTGTTGAAGTCCATTTCAGGTCTGAACGTCCGGGACCTTTTGGGGAAGTTTTGAGCACGCCCATCATGGGACGTTCCCAAAACGTATATAAATGGACGTCCCCAAAACGTCCATTTCAGATCTGGAAAAAACATTCATAATCATTTCGATGAATCCGATTTCATAAATCAATACACGAAATATGATCTATGTGCGGGATGGAAAATGAAAAATCGCATGAAAAAACGTCATTTAATTTTGCCCAAATATTTTTTTGTTTAACACACTGACCTCATTTTCACGGGCACTTTGTATAAGTAGTTGTTCCGTCTGAGCATAGGAGATAACGCAGGTCAAATCCGGTCACCAACTCCTATTTTCTTCTTTCAGAAGATTTGAATTCAATTCGAATTTACCGCCATTGCTAGAATCGTTCTGATTGGTCTAAAAATGCATCCTTACCGAAAGTCATGGCTGTCAGAATTCATACGAACTCATGGCCACCACTCGTGTAGCAGGTGTACTAGTGTACAGCGTTGCCAGATCTACTGTTCTTGTCTGTTCTACTATTCTTTTGTTTCAGGCAAGAAACCTACTGTTTTGTTCATCGATCCAAATTAGAATTGAAAAATGAGAGAATTTCACACAAGCGGATGTAGAAATAAACAATCCACCAATTGTTCCCAACTTGACAAATTTTGTTCTTCATTATTTATTATTATATTTTGCCTCATTCTTCAGCAAACGTGAAGAGGATAGTTTCTCAAGTAAATTTGCTGAAGTCAATGCAGCGTGATGAGTTAATTCATCCAGCAGTTGGTTTTCTCCATACGAAAACATATTTATCTACAAGGCAGAATCGTCAAGTTTTGATATCACATGTAACAAAGAATTAATGATATACTGAAGTTATCAGATTCAGATTGATTAGAGAAAAACTTTTATTTCTAATTTGATTTCTGTCAAACCTTTACTTTTTCGTTTTCATATGGGTGTTCATGTTTTTTATTTCTCATCCATAATAGCAAATTGTAATGATGATCAAAATCTACTGTTTAGTTTTGATGATTGTTTTTTTTCCCATCCATCTACTTCTCATCGCAAATTCTCATCTGTGGACGCTTATTTGTGTTATTATGGTGTTATTGTATGCATAATGTGAAGTTGAAAGAAGAAAACGCTGTGGAATATTAGCAGTTTCTTATTTGTCAACATATAGGTATCGAAAATTGTAATGTAGGTAAGTTTATTATCGAGTACAATATTATTATCACCCATAGTGGAAGGACCTTTCATTGGATTCATATAAAACACATAATTAGTTTCCAGGGATAGTTATCACTGTCCCGTGAAGAATTCTATCTAATATTGATGCATAACTCATAATTCGATCACAACTTCTTCAAGCTCAATGTTACCTACTCACCAAGAAAAGGGGTTTCGAAAATTGTGATGAAATTATTTCTCTAGTTATTCATGCTCTTTGAGCATTATATAGCATTCTCCTGTGTAAAAAACTCGTATATTTCGCGATATATCGTTTGGTTGAAAACACTGAAATCGATAGGAAAAGTACTACAAATCATCATGAATCTACCGAAGGATCATAATAAATCCACCAAAGCCTCCACATGGAGCTGACTGAAGAGATCTGCTGAGAGGATGAGCAAGTCTGAGAAAACCAAAGAAGAAAGTTCTTCAATCAATATTCATTGCCATGTAAACTTCTATCGATATATTATATTATATAATGTATTATCTGAATCAGTAAATTTTATTTTTGACCAATAATGGCTTCAGACCTGAATCGTACGTCCCTCAGACGTCCTCGAAATGTCCCCAAATGGTCCAGATTAGACCCGAAACGGACCTAATAAACTCGTTATCTTATCGCTTGGGGTGCTATATCTGATCTCGACAGATCTCTCACATTTTTCTGTACCAGATGAACAACTAAGAACGGCTTTCGGCCATATCTCAGCGACGAATAATGAAACAAGTTTGAGATAGAACAAATCTAATGGTATGCATATCATTACACGATATAATAGAGAAACTAAATATCAACAGACCAACAAAAACCGCAACATGATAGCTATTCGCCAACGGTAGATATTAACTATCAAAGTTGGAAGAATGATAGATATGCTTTATACTTTATGCTATTACAACTTGAGAATGATGCGAAAATAATGGATCATATAATGCACGAAAAATGTCTAAATCACGATTGAAAAGTTTATGTCACTTTCGATAGAGAAAATGAAAATGTTCAACGTAACACCGTATACCTACTTACAGATATTTTCAACTTTTTATGAGATTATTTTTCCTAATCAAATCTATGTGGATGAATATGTGTCTACATACCACTGACATATGTGAACTTGAATTTGTTGAAAAGAACAGTATTTGACAGCTTATTGTTGACAAAAATGAGCAGACATTAATACATTTAGAACAATTTTTGATCCTATGAATGAAATGACAGTTAGACGTATCAACCGTTCAACTCATTTATGTTCGAACTCAGGAACAGGAGATCGCAAAGAGAATACGTGAAATATGTACCTATAAACCTATTTGGAACAGCCATTTTAATTTTCACATCACGTGACCTCTATATACAGGGTATGTCACGACAAGTTTACACTATCTCTATATCGAGAATCAGTATCGAAAGAAATCAATGAAAATATGCATGCTCATATTTTAGATTTAGAATACGCTCTCTTAATTCAAAATATTTCCAGCGATGCAGTGCTGCCGCTTTAAAAAAAAACAAGCAACAACTTTGTTATTTCAAATAGAATACCCTGTATTTCATTGCATTTTTAGATTCATCCTGTACAGCTGATTTTATCGATACATCACACTTAGGCGCGGGGTCCATCGAAAGAGATTACAGGGCTATATAGGGTGTTCAAAATCGAGATTTTTCAACTGAGGATTTGTTTGTCTCGAAACTATTCATTATCGGCCAAAACGGCGTACATGCCCCTATCTCAACTTTCGATTTACTATTTACTGATATTTAATCAGAACAGATACAGGGTGATCAGAATTCTGAATCTCGAACCACCCTGTATCTGTTCAGTAATTATAGTGAATCAGAAGTTGGGAGCCGTTTCAACCGATAATGAATAGTTTCGACACAAAAAAATCCTAAAGTTGAAAAATCTTGATTTTGAACACCCTATATCTCTGTAATCATTTTCGATAGACCCCGAGTATATGATACATAGATGAAATCAGCTCTTCACGGAATTCAAAAATGCGATGGAATACAGAGTGTTCCATTTGAAATATCAATGTTGCTACTACTTTCTAGTAGAAGCGGCAACACTGCATTGTCGAAAATATGTTAAATGAAGAGAGCGTATTCTGAAATATGAGCATGCACATTATCATGGATTTCTCTAGACATGATTCTCGATATAAAGATAGTGTATAAGCTCGTCGTGACATACCTTGCATATGGGCAATGCTTTTTTCAAATAGCAAAATCTTTGAGAATAATAAAGATGAAAACCTACAAAAATTTTTAATGTGGTTTCATCAACAAAAGATAGATTGGGAGCTTCAGAATGAACATGAAATAAATCTTATGTACCTACCTATATCTAATTGAACACCAACAAGAACATCAAGAATACAACTTTATTAATGAATCACTATCAGGATTACTTCAGTCTTAATGAGTCTTCTGTTTATGTACACATTCTTTCTCGTGTGGAGAAAGCAATTTCAGTTTTCCAGTGAACTCACAACCGTTTTTGGAAAACACACAAGCTAGCACTACTTCATCAGCCAAACTCTCCAAAGGAAAACTTCTCGATTCTCCAAGACTTGCTCGACAAGAAGGACATTCAGTCAGTTGGAGTTTGCAGGTGTCGCACAATACATGCCCTTTTTCACAGTTATAAATTTTACCGATCATGTACTCCATGCATATGGGACACTGTAACTGCTTTTTAAACTTTTCCAAACATTCATCAACGATGTTCACATCATTCTTAGGAATGTCTACTGTTGCAGTATCGTTCGCTTTGTTGTTATCCTTATATTCGTTCTTTGAGACGATTGTTATGTCAACTCTGATCTTGGAAAGCTCACCTAAAAGTGGTTTTAAAACAGCAAGATCAATTATTTTGAAATCATCATCAACGTAAATATTGTCTTTCCTTTTTGTGTGCGGATAGCCTCTCAAACTACATCGAGAACGCAAACATGTAAAACAATGATCCATCTCATTGTATTTGTCGATTTTTTGATTTACATAAATCACAAATATATCATCGGACCTTGTGCTGGACAATTTCAAATTGTATGTAAAACATGTATTGATTTTTCTTAAAGAAGCAACATATATCTTTGAAACATCATTCTCATTTGAAATCATTATGATGAAAAGGTGATTTTCATGTATTAAAAGCTGTAGAGATGAACCAGTGCTAGTTAATTCAGAGTTATATGTTGAAAGAAGAATATTCTTATTATGACTTTTCCAGTGCTCCTCCAATTTCCGTATCTCCACATTTTGCATACATCTTCGAAGAGAATAGATTGGACATTTAAACGTCTTTTTATCACAAGCGTCTTCATGATTTTCCACCTCTTCCCACGGAATCATTTTATTGCAATCCTTGTATATGCAAGGAAATGATGAGAACTTCGCTAGATTTTCGAAAGTATTATTTCGAAGAATCGCTGGTTTATCCATGTTGTTCTTACATCTCCCGCACTTCGATTGTGTTCCATCTTGGGAAAGTATCATTATAGGAGGCACTGATAAAACATTCTTGCACAGGCAGCACTTCTTTGACAGGATCGCATTCATCGCATTTTGAAGTTCCTTGTTAATCTGTGGTTCCAATGATTCAGCCATAATTATTATCTAAAAAACAACATATTCAGTAAGGTTATTCTTAGTCATGAATGATTAGCTAAGCATAGATTGATGACAAGTAAAGGTAACCAGATAACATCCAATGGATATTCTCTACATGTCTAATTCTGGTCGGAATATCCCTGGATTTGAAATTGACATCTATAAGATATATCAGGAGGGGTGAAAGAACTTACAGTCACAACTCCACCACATTAAAAAATGTAATAATGACCAACGGTCATGGGACATGTTTCGAAGGATTAATCCTTCATCATCAGCAAATGTGTCAAAAGAAAATCTGTAGGAAGAAACAATGCTTATGTTAGTTATTAGTATTAATTAAGGAATCTAAATGTGGAAAAAGTTTACTCAATACAAAACATGAAAAAAATTATTTTTGTTTCTAACCGCGCATAGTGCGGGTGAGCAAATGTTAGGGAACCATTATTTCAAACTCAATAATAAGGGCTTAGTTATTCAAGATAAAGTGACACAATTCAATTATAAAAATGAACCAACATGTGGACCTGGATTTGTTGAATTAGGTTAACTAATCACAAATGACGATCGACAAATGACAATTGATGACAATGACGCTGAGGACAAAACACAACATTAGAATGACATCCGTCAAGTCAAAACTAAGGAATGTTTTGATTCGAAGTGACATAGAACACAGAACAAAAATTGTAGTAAAAATAACAAGGAGTTGAATAATTCAAGACAATCATATTGAGTTTGTTCATTGAGGCAGTTGAGGTTAGAATTTTTGAACGCTTTATTAATTTCCAGAGTTTCAAGGAAGTAAAGTTTTTTTCCCTTGTCACAAATATGTAAAATGTAGGAAAAACAGAATTGGACTCAAAATAATCTTTTTCAAAATCATTTTCTATAATACGATTTTTGTTCTGTGTTCTATGTCACTTCGAATCAAAACATTCCTTAGTTTTGACTTGACGGGTGTCATTCTAATGTTGTGTTTTGTCCTCAGCGTCATTGTCATCAATTGTCATTTGTCGATTGTCATTTGTGATTAGTTAACCTAATTCAACAAATCCAGGTCCACATGATGGTTCATTTTGATAATAATTGAATTGTGTCACTTTATCTTAAAAAAACTGAGCTCTTATTATTAGCTTGAAATAATGGTTCCCTAACATTTGCTCACCCGCACTATGCGCGGTTAAAAACAAAAATAATTTTTTTCATGTTTTGTATTAAGTAAAATTTTTCCACCAATAATGGTAGGTACATTTAGATTCCTTAATCAATACTCATAACTAACATAAGCATTGTTTCTTCTTACAGATTTCTTTTTTGACACATTTGCTGATGATGAAGGATTAATCCTTCGAAACATGTCCCATGACCGTTGGTCATTATTAAATTTTTTTATGTGGTGGAGTTGTGACTGTGAGTTCTTTCACCCCTCCTGATTTATATCACCTTCACTGTAGGTTATCGATCACCTACGTTGGTTCTATGAAATATCCATTGAAGTATTTGAAATGGATTTCCTTCAGTAGATATCTTAAGGATATCCATGAGATATCTACAGCAATTATGAATGTGTTCAATTTGCAAGATCGATTTTGATAGTGTCAATTTATGTGTTTCTCTTTGTGTCCGAACATAGATAGAAGCTTTTTGGAAATAGATCTGATTTTTTGTCCTTCTACTAGATTTGAAATGGACATCCATGAGATATCCATCGCAGTATTCGACATGGATATCCTTCAGTAGATATCTTAAGGATGTCCATAAGATATCTACAGCAATTATGAATGTGTCCAAATTGCAAGATCGATCATGATAGTGTCAATTTATGAGTTTATCTTTGTGTCCCAACATAATATATTGAAACTTTTTGGAAATAAATCTGATTCTTTGTTCTCCTACTGAATTCGAAACGGACATCCATGAGATATCTAAAGCAATTATGAATGTGTTCAATTTGCAAGATCGATTTTGATAGTGTCAATTTATGAGTTTCTTCTTGTGTACGAACATAGATCGAAGCTTTTTGGAAATTTATGAGTTTCTCTTGTATCCGAATATAGATTGGAGCTTTTTGGAAATAGATTCGATTCTTTGTTCTCCTACTGGATTTGAAATGGACATCCATGAGATATTCATCGCAGGATTCGACATTGACATCCTTCAGTAGATATCTTAAGGCTATCCATAAGATATCCAGAACAATTATGAATGTTTTCAATTTGCAAGATTGATTTGCCATGCAACAAATAATCCGTGAGTTCAAATCCCGTAATCCACCAACTTCCTTTTTCTTGTTTCGTTGTGATTCTTGAAAAACTAACTATCGAGGCATTCATTGTTGGGGTCGATTGTGATTCAATGACGTTTTTTGACGCGTATCCGCCAAAAGCCAAAAGGGCCGATAACTTGGCATATTCTTGTGTGTTCTTGTCTTGTTGACTCGAGTTTTGTCAAATTTTTGTATTGTGCATTGTGCGAATATTTTCGATTATTGCGTTCTTCAAGGGGTAAGTGATACTGCAATAATAATTATCCTATTTGTACCTACTATTTATATAATCCTAGAGGGGGAGGGGGGGGGTATTTGCAATCAAACTAACGGTATATGTGGTTATCAAATTGTTGACTCTTTGAAAGTTATTCAATTTCTCTTAAGAACGCGACCCATTTGGGAAAAATTAATAACAAAAAGGCTGTATTAAAAGGGCAACTTTTTCTTATGATTGATTATCTTTGTGGGGTGGTAATTGAATCTGCCAGCGGCATCTGAAAATCGACTGAAATATTTTATTCAGAGACAAGACTTGAGGAAAACAACATTTTCCATAGGTTATTGATACGAAGTAACGCAGGTCATAAAATTATTTCAGGGGAAAAGTGCATCCTTGCGGATGGAATTCGTGAAAGAAAAAATCACAAATGTGAAATACAGGGTGTTTCAAAAAAACCTGACCCCCTTGCTAGGGTAGGTAGAACATCGCAAAATAAGTTGGGTTTGCTCAGTGAAAAAATGTAATGGCATCCGTTTTCATGATACAAGGTGTTGAAAAAATTATTTTTTTTACACATTTTTCACGATTATTCCGAAACTACTGGCACCATTGTAATGAAATGTTGTATGGATGTTTCTTTGAATCTGACACATCGCATGAATTTGTTTTTATATCTGACTCTCATAGAGGGCGCCAGTTACACGGTTCGTACCGAGTAGTTTTGAACATAACTTTTTTGAGCTTAGATTTTTCAATCCAAATATGATATGAACTTTAATATCATTGAATTTTACACCAAAAAGGTACTCTTGGTGAAACTCGATACTATGTTCCGTTTTCGGAATATTTTGATTTGAAAATAATGCAGTAGTATAATGATGATGGTATAAAATGAATTTTATTGAGTTCAATTACCTATTTATTCAGATTCAGAAACAATAAAATCATTCTTGTGCTGAAGTTTTTGATGGAACAAAGAATCATAAGTAGAAAATTAAGAGATATTTGACTAGAAACATGAAATATTGAATCAGTTAGAGTAAGTGTTCAAAATGTCCTACGTTTCGACGAATTCACGATTCTATATTCTTTTCTTAAGAATGTTTTATTCTTCTAAACAGTTGAGGATCAGCTGTTATGTCTCACAACTCTTGACATGAATTTACCTATGTAGCATAGACTTTCTGCTCAAGATATATAACAGAACTGTGTAATCCATGTTCTTAGTCAAATCTGTTTCGATGTTATTCTTGTGATTCATTGTTAAATCAATGAGTTTTGCATCAGAAATGTATTGTTCTTTTCGGTTTTCAATAAATAGGTGATAATTTTTCATAATACTTACTCTAATACATGCTCTATACCAGCAACAACCACTTCATCATTTTCAAATCGAAATATTCCGAAAACGGAACACAGTATCGAGTTTTACCAGAAGTACCTTTTTGGTGTGAAATTGAATGATGTTCAAATTCATATCAAATTTGGATTGAAAAATCTAACCTCAAAAAAGTTATGTTCAAAACTACTCGGTACGAACCGTGTAACTAGCGCCCTCTATGAGAGTCAGATATAAAAATAAATGCATGCGATGTGTCAGCTTTCAAAACACATACATACAAAATTTCATCACAATGTTGCCAGTAGTTTCAACATAATCGTGTAAAATGTGTAAAAAAATAATTTTTTCAACACCTTGTATCATGAAAACGGATGCCGTTACGACATTTTTTTACTGAGCAAACCCAACTTATTTTGCAATGTTCTACCTACCCTTGCAAGGGGGTTAGGTTTTTTTGAAACACCCTGTATAGTTTCATTGTAATTTTTTTCATAGAAATGAAAAAAATAAATAACTTTTGAACCATCAAAAATTGACCCCTCCTACCATCAAACGTTTTTTGATCCATGACTTATGGGACACCCTGTATATACAGTGTGTATCTAAATAACACCGAAAAAATTCAAAGGGTGGTTCCTTGTGATACTTTAGGAAATATGAACATGTACCATAACTTGCTTGGTTCTCGAGATACAGGGTATTAATATTTCCCTGAAAAATCGTTTTTTGTTTCATTGCCCAATTGTCTCTTCATCAATTTCAATAAAACGTTGTGGTTTTGTCAATAATAATATGGAGCTCCTCCTGGTGCAATCAGATTCGAAATAATATTTCCAGTGGCGTCACAGTGGGTAAATTTATGGATATTCATGGTGAATCTCATTGCACGTCGCCGGTTTCTCTGAGTTTCATATTTTTATTAGATTGAACTATTGAAATAACGACTTCTTTTATCCTCTGTGTGATTCTCTTATCCAGATTAGTTTTTGAGGAAACAATGTAAATTCGATTTGACTCCAAATTTCAATGTAGGTGTTTTCAAGACTTCCATTGAGATTACTCGATAACCCCAATAACAATAATTTTGAAATTTCGGAGCTTTCTCAGTCTCCAACCATACTGAATTTTGGCACCATGGAAGCTCATACAGGGGGGTTAGACAT